CGCTGGCGCGCAGCCGCGGACTCGGCTTCCTCACAGACGCCGGCCGCATGAACGTCATGCTCACGCGCGCCAAGCACGCCCTCCTCGTCTGCCTCAACACGCAAGCCATCATGGTGACACACCTCTTAATAATTAAAAGCCTCAATACCTAAGGATCATGCTATACATTTATGCCACATCCATATCTGTTGAATCGTTCTATATATACCTTCTAACAAACATCCATCCATCCATTTTAACATTCGCATTTATCATATTAGTAAGACTAGCAGTTGCCCGCGACTATATCCACGCGGAATTAAAAAAAACTGTATTAAAAATAGAATACCCATGTATTCTATTTTTAATACAGTTTTTTTTAATATCCCCATGGATAGTGTAGCTTCCTAACAGTGAAAGAATTTTTCAAATCGGTTCAGTAGTTTCGAAATGTATTTATTACAAACAAAAAACCAAAACTTTTCTCTTTATAATATTATAAGCTATAGATATTGTAATTAATTGGTGATTTATTTGTATACAGAGGAACGACCAGTGGCGCACCCTGGTGGAGGACGCGCAGAGACGCAAGCTGTACACGACGCTGCCGAGCCGCGTGTGTCAGCCCGCCGCCGCGCACGTGCCGCACGAACATGTCCTCTCGCACATCACGCATCTCAAACACCGATAAATACTAAATACATATCAAATTCTAAATATATAGCAGCTTGTTGCAAATCTACGAAGGTGGGCCCATTGCAGCTAGAAGAAACCCTTTGCCTCGCTCTCACCCGTAGATTTAATCCGTCGCTGTCGGCTATCAAAGCATTGTATATAATCATATTCCTATCTCACTCATTCTATATGAATATAAGACATCAGTGACTTTCCAAGGCTACAGAGCCGCCATAATTTTTGAATGTTACTATACTATTGAAGCATTTAAGAAACTGTAAGTGAAAATAACCAAATATTGTAGGTATAAGGACATTAAAAATAAATCCCCAAGTTTTTTTAGCAACAATTATACTGGTGTAAAATAACATGAGATCTGATTCCGATGACGTCATAATGGCGTTTTATTGAAATGTATAAATGTTTCCCGATATCTAAGCGGCTCTTAAGTTCGCGCGTGTCGCTGCGAAAAACACAATTTTAGAGCACTGTGCAGCGCGCCGATCACCTTGAGCCGCCAAGATATTTGAGACTATACAAGATATGAAATATGGTACATTTTACTAGCTCTCTAGTAATAACGATTCTAATGTTATTATGCACTTATAGTAAAAATAGGTATTGTATTGAACGGGTGTATCCGGTATTATCTAGACATGAATTCCTGTTTACAGTTTAATCTATATTGTTAGGTTTAAAGTCCAATTCTGATGCCTATGGCTATATTTTTTTTTACTTTTTCTTTGTAAATATTAAATATTCATTGCATTATTAATGCGAATTAATGATTATAAAGTTTATATTTTTTAATTTAGATATAAAACAAAATGTATTACAATTTATGAATCAGAAGTAGTTTCTAGCCGTGTATATTATGTTCTGAACCACCAGTAAAATTACTAATTTAGTGACATATTGATGAATTTGAGTTTCGTCTGGGTTTTTATAAACAAGAGATAAAAAACATGTCTAAAATTTGTACGAGTTCAAACTATGAAATAGGTTAACGGCATGCATGAGTTTTTTTTTATAACCTTTTGTAGGTGTAATCATATTTCATAACCTATAGTTACCTAATCTGGAGCACAAGTGAGACGAAAAGAGATTAGGTTATAACCTTCTCTTACCTTTTTTATTAATATAAAATATTGTAAAAGACGTTTATTGAGATTTTTAGGTTATGTTCCCAGTCCTGTCAACAATTGTACAAAACATGTATCTCATGAAAGAGAACAAAAGCAATTGTTTCTGAATTAAAAATTAATGTTGTATTTTATTAATTTAGTAAAAATTAAACTAAGACTTACCTAATTACACGCCGTATTATGTTTTTATAATTGCTATTTTGTACTAGATACGTACGTAATTACGTTTTTTTTTGTAAAAATGTTGATTAAAATTTTTTGTTATTATTATATTTTGTTTTAATTATCCCGTGTAATGCTGTGTTACAACTGGCCAAACGCAAAGTCTTTAGATTATATTAATCTTGACTTTTTTATTGTAGACATCCAAGATGGTGTATTTTGTTACTTCAATTTGCATTATTTTGGATAATATAAGCTTAGTGACTGAAGCTTCAAAAATATAAGAGACGGTCATGTACAAAATATGTTCTCTCTTTTTTTCTTACGGAGAGTGAAAAGGACGACAATCTGAGTTTCAAAACTCAATGTAGAGGGTGGAAGGAAGATACGAAATAAAACACAACGTAAGTAGTAAGGTTGCTTGCTTATGAACGTTCGTGACTTACAAATTCGTCACAAAAACTCATTAATTCCTTTGTAAAGAGAAATCAATGTCTTATAACTAGAACATTTTTATGACATTTACATGGATGCAAGACAAAGTCTCCAGCTATTGAGGTAAAAATTAACATAACTTTCCCTATACCTTTTTTAACAGTTTACTATAAGATAGTATTTTAACTATAAACATATTATGAAATCAGTACTATGCATTAATGCTTATTAAAATATTGCTTGCTTCGTTTAAAATAACATTTACATTAGCAGGATATTTTTATATAAATTAAATGCGAAAAATTGACAAGATGATAAAAAGAAAAAAGGTATCAGGTACCAAGAAATGAAAAGATAACAAAGAAAAAACAATAAACCTTTTTATTTACGCTGTTAGGGTTTTTTACCCAATAAGGTTTTTATCTACTCTATTAGGTGTTCTAATGGTGTTATACTCTACAGGTAGCTAAACTTAATACCAAAGCTTATTTGAAAAATCCCAAAAAAAGAATTTCTATGCCAAATGTGAATTTAGCTAAATTTAATTTTAATAATAACAGTTTATTGAATCTATAAATAGTCGAACCTGGATAAGGGAGAAACCTTTATAAGCGAGTCATCGTCCGGTCCCATGGACGACTTTCATAGGAGAGATACTTGGGTAAGAGAGAATAATATCGCGGTCTCTTTCTCGCTTATCCAGATTTAAGTGTATCAATATTTTTTTCTGTATACTTCTTTTACTATTAAAAATTTCGCCAAACCGTAGGTTTTTACTGCCGAAAAAGTTTATTTTTAAAATTCGATAAATCGTTTATTGCTCGGCAGTAGAAACCCGCATTAACACGTTGAGCGCCACGCGTATTTCTAAGACAATCCCGTTCAGACCAAGAGCGCCGCTTATACGCACTGGTATTAAAGGGCCGGTGTTTCCGATCGCAGTACAAAATAGTTTACATTTTTAACACAAAATAGTGTAAAATTTTATAGTTCTCATGTTACACGCTGTCAGCCACCGATGGTTGACGCGACTTAAACAGAAAATCTAGTGTCAGCCACCGATGGCTGACGCGGCCTAAACGGAAAGTTGTGTCAGCTACAGATGGCTGAGTTGGCGGTCAACGTGTTAAACACATGCCATGCATTAAAACATAATTATATTGTTACAATTTAGTTAGAGCACAAAAATCTTACATTGTATATTGATGTTTTCAAAATATAAAGCCAAATGTCACAATCATATTTCCAATACAGTTATTTTATAGCATTTTTTCTCTCAACTTCAAAAACCCAGCTTTATTTACATTATTGTTTAATTGAATAACGACAGGACTTCATTGTTGTGAATCTTGTATTAATATTGCCGTCCCATATATTTTGTTTGGTACAAACAGAGACAACAATGTGCCAATACAAGTTTTCGAAATCCATAGTAAAAATTAACTATATCTGAAACTATTTAAAAATAGAACAATTTTTAATACTGAAACTATCCAATTTAAATACAAAGTTACAAAAAATTTATGTCCTTTTTAAAGATAATAATTGTTAGAATTTTATTTACTATTATGATTAAGAAATAATTAAAGAAAATTACTGAAAAGTGCAACCAAGCAAAATAAACAAATCATTATTTTAAGTTGCTTTTAAAATATTGTATCTCATTTTACTTTTAGTTTTAATATTTGGACTAATCGATATAATCCAACTTGGATAATCGAGAAACCTTTATAAGTCAGAGCCGTTGTCCGATCTCGTAGACGACTTCCATACGCGAGAACCTCATGTTAGAGAAAAACCTCTATAAGCGAGAAAAATATCGCGGTCTCTAAGTCTCTCGCTTATTCAAGTTCGACTTACATTATTTTACGTGCGAAACATACATAAATATTATATTATCGCAAACATCTAAAATCTTACATAAATGCGTAAATACTGTACGCTTTTGTATAAAATCAAATATTGCTTCATCGAATATGTTACTTGTTTACTCCTTACCACGTTTTCACTATCACTTTGCATACAAAAACATTTTTATCTCGATTTTTCAAACTGAATAAGCGAGATAACTATGTTTTTGTACATCTGTTTCGGTAGTGGAAACTGGTAGTTACGAAACATCAATGTATTTACAGTTACAGGCTTATAAGGCTGCAATATTTACAATATTATATTCTAAATTTCATCGCACGACAACAAAACTGTGCACAACTAATACTACTTGCTTCCAACTAAAAAAAAAAACTTCAACACAATTCTGCAAAAACAAAAGATCTTACAGCTTTTTGACTAAACAATCTAATCTTCTGTATATAAGTATTGTTTATATATAAATAAAAGCACATTGGAAGTAATATTTCAGTAGTACAGTCGAGCCTAAGTAAGCGAGAACTGGATAAGCGAGAAACCTCTATAAGCGAGAGAAATTTCGCGGTCCGTTAGACTCTCGTTAATCCAGATTCGACTGTATTTTTAATTTGGAATTTGGTGGCACAAATATTGTATGCAAATTCCACATTAAATATATCTCATCACAATTTACACAGAAACTAGCTAATAGCCCCGGATTCTCACGTAACAGTTCAATAGCTAAAAAATTTTTTTATATATGTCAAACAAACTTTTTGCATGAAAACATGTCCAAACCTTATCCTTATCATATGAAAACCGGTTCATTATTTTCTAAGTTAATTTAATTTTAATATTTAATGAATTTAAATGTTTAACTAACTAATTGTTAACTAGAATATTATACATTTAACTTTCTTAATATAAACTAATAAAGCCTAATTACAAATAAAATTCCTTATTTTAAGCGACTCAATGAACAAATATGACATCAAAAATACTTCGTTTCAATAAACTGAGTTAAACTTTTTCAAGGAAAAAAATCCTAATTTTGAATATAAAGCAATTTCGAAGCGAAATATTCACAAGTTAAGTTTTTCTAACTACAATTTTCCTTACAATATATTAATTAACAATTTGAAACAGTTTCAAAGGCTGATTATTGGCAGTTAATATGATAATCGCGACTATAACGACGTATTTCTAATGGACTGCGGTCAGAGTATATAATACGGTTATTTGTATGTTTATATAAGAGTAATGTCACGTTGGTATATCGCAGAGCGCGAGGACACTGGCCGCGGGTCAATGTCTGTTGTAATGGTGACCGTTGCTGTTGTATCTAGAAAAAAAAAAAAAGAAATTATGTCAAAAAAGAGTCAATTATACAAGAATATATTTATTTTATTTTAATAGAAAGTTAAAATATTCTTGTTTGTTACAAAGTTTGAGTCCTGTGCATTGCTAAACCGCTGGATAGATTTTGATGAAACTTTGGCAGATAGTTTTGAGAACGCTAAATTATATTAAAACAAAAAGTAAAAGAAAGGGTAATAAAGCAAAAAAGGAATGAGATTAACCATCGGTTTTTGGGATTAAAATTCCCCATTAAAACATATGTTTTGTGAAATATAATGAGAGGAATTTAGTCTCAGAAACCAGTGGTAAATGATTTGTTAGTATGTTACCTGTTAAACCGCTTGTATTTATGATTGTAGTGCTTGTTGAAGTGGTGCGCCGGCCGCCGCTGGTCGCTCCTGTACTTGAAGTTGCCGCCTCCACCCCAATGCTGTTTATTTTGCTTCTCCTGCAAACACATAGCATTGTAGCATTATCACTTTAGAAGACATAATACCTACTACTTTAAAAATATCTAGATACGGATAGATGAGTAGAACTAACTGTCGAACGCGACTCCGTCCGTGCGGAACTGAAAAAAAAGACTTAATTGGTAGTCTATGTTTTCTTCGAGGTTATATTCTACATTTATACCAAATTTTAGCAAGATGTAACGAGCCGTTCTGGAGATAACTTTTAACAAACATCCATCCATTCATCCATCCATACAGTCGCATTTATATTAGTGAGATATATGCTGGTTACCTGGAAGGGATTATATCCGTTCCTGTTGTTGTTAAAGCTGTTGTAGTGATGGAACTTCTTGATCTTCTTGCTGCGGCCGCGGTCCATCTCGTCCGTCGCCTCCAGCGCACGCTTGCGCTCCTCGCGACGCTCCTCGAACACCTGGCAATACAAAGTTTTTACATGTGAAATTACACCTTAAATTACAACTCATTCTCCTTCCGCCTTGTTTATTCGTTTATGTTTAAATAATCATCTCTAAATCCCATTATTCTGTTTTTCAGTTTTATATAACTAATTTCCTTAACAAAATTATTATTGAGTACATTTTCATTCCATTTCAGTCTTACATATGTATAGTACAACATATCAACCATGTATGTGTAAAAATAGTTTAATAGATATACACATAAAACTTGAGTTTTTAAACGGCGTATAATTACAAACCTGTCGCGACAAGTTGCTGTGGGTTCCGTTCCATGTGGTGACAGGCGCGCCGTAGCCCCTGTGCGACAAGCCGTGCAGGTGACGCGCGGTCTCGATGCCGGAGCCCTGCGGTACTGGGGGCGCAGAGCTGGCAGGGTTCGGAGGCGCAGCGCTAGCGGGGGCAGTGCCGCCCTCGCTTCGGTCGCTCAGTGGTGACATGCTACTGACGCTCGTGTTGGGACTCTGTTCGTTCTCACCGCGAGGCTCCTCTTTTTCTTGCACCCTAGCAGGTTGATTACTTTTAATAATCAAAGAAAAGGTATTCATTTAGTATAGCTAACAACATAAATCGTGTTACAATGACGAAACACAACACACAAAGAACAAAATGAATAGAGAATGAAAATCTGTGTTTGGACTACTGCATAATCTACTTATTCAAATAATTAATTCAAGTATTCAAATAATTAAAAATATCTTACTTTTTATTTGTTACTCCATTCAAACTAGGACTCAATAAAGGTCCACTTTTTTCTTTTGAGACAGTCCACTTGTGCTGTGTTCCTTTTGTAGTGACAACAAGGCCTTGTGGAGAATCACATCGGCTGGGTTTTGGCCTTAAACTGACCACTGCTTTAACATCGCCCTTTACTTTATCATCAGAGAACCTCTCGGCGCGCTCGTCGCTACTCGATTCTGAATCGTAAGGCACCAGTTTAGAGTTGGAATTTCCATTCCTACTTATATGGTTGGAATCACTCTTATTCATCTGTTCCTCAAGTTTTTCAAGAGGAGATTTCGGTGGCTTCACCAGTTTACTTGTTGATGCAGATTTCTCAGGTACTTTAGTATTATTTAGTGTCAGTGACCGAATATCTGAATCGCTCTTTGATAGCTTAGCCTTTATCGGACATTCATCTACTTGCTTCTTAAAAACAAAGTTTATTTTCTTATCTTCATCGACTTTGTGATTAGATTTATCGACGCCGTTCAGTATTTTCGGATACTGTACGACTTTTTCCACTTCGCCATTTTGTTTCACAACCCAAGGTTCAGAATTGGAACTGGATTCCAAAGATTTACTTAATGTTGTGTTTAATATGATAGGTTTGGGTTCAGGTTTCGTGGATTCTGTTGTGGTGCTGTTCAGTATTATTGGTTTCTTATCATCATTACGATAAAATGTTATTTTAAGAGGACTCTTTTCTCTATTGACAATGTTGTCTGGTAACTGTGGTCCATAGACAACACTGGAGGTAGAGGCAGTTGGCTGATTGATATCATCAGTTGTGTTATCTTTTTCAAAGAACATAATATATGAATTTGTGCCTAAGACAGCTGATAAAGGCAGTGGCCTCACACAACTGTCATCAAATTGGTAATAATTACTATTAGGAGCTTGTCCTATCGCTGTGTAGTGTCCACAATTCTGTGATGGTCCGAGATGAGTCACTAAACTCACCAATTTGTATGTCTGAAAATAGAAAATAGTCTTATTGCACTTTAACACATTCAATGTCACAACAATCTGAATTCATAGACAAGTTGAAGGCCGACATAGTACAGTACATATTTAAAAGTTATAACTTACCAATTGTTGTGGATTATTTTTATTGTAAATATATTTGCTAAGGTTTATTTTTTTGCGAAATTGTACATGCTTTGATAACTTTCCGCCCGCCAAGGAGAACCTTTTCAATGCAATGCAAAGTACCATAGGCGCTCGCTCAACAAAGAATTGTTTTGTTGCAGATACCTGTAAAACAAATGTCATAATAACTTTTAACACAATTAATGCTGATTGCATTGTAAGATGCATCCCTGTATGTAGTTTTAGTCATGAATGTAGTATGTCTCTACAGCACCATGTACTCGGCCTTATACATTTCCACAGCGCTGTGTGTATTGGCATTAAATGTGTTAACTTTAACAGTTGCTAGCCCTAGTTTATATTTTTTAGGCATAACTTACATATATAGCTGGGTGCATAAATTCTAAAAGACTGAACCAGTGGTATGGAATAAGTTTAATTTAGGATAAACAAGATACTAACCTTCTTATTACAAGCTTCGCACTTATATCCTAAATCTTCTAATCTTTCTCTAGAAAAAAACGAGTCTAAAGCTTCATCTAAAGTTGAATGCTTTCTTATATCTAATAGTAAATCCTGTAAAATAATAAAAAAATTTCACTTAGTGGTGATGTCTATTGTCAGTGGTGACTACAATATATTAGCTACTTCAGCTGATGTAGCCAGCAACTAGCGCATTGCTCACCTGGAAATGTTGGTATGTAGTGGATAAGTGATGGCAGGCCAAGCACCTCACAGTAGACCGCAGGTATCCACCCAAAATCTGATTTAATGGAGTTGTTTCTTTACTATATTGATCTAATTTATCAGAGTTTACAAATCTTGATAAATAACATTTCTCCATCGCCTCTACCAAATACCTGTGGAAATCATATTTTAAATGTATATAACAATATTTTCAAAAAAAAATTGTTTTACATCACACAGTTACATAGGAAGTTTAATGAATTACTTATTAGGGGCCAATCCATAAATTACATCACATATTAGAGGGGTAAATGAAGTATGACAAGTTTTGAAACTTCACATTTTTTTCAAAATATAATATCTTACATCTTGGTAAAAAAAATTGCAATCTGGTACATGGGGATCTCAAAAGTGTGAACAGCTGTGATAAGGATGTGAACAATTGTGTGACAAGGAGTCAAAAGGTCATGTAATTAGTGACACATAATTTATGGATGTCGCCCTAACAACGAGGTTTGTTTCTTTAAAAATCAATTAGATTTACCTCAGAAACTCATGTGCATCCTCTTGTCTTCCCGGAGTCAAGTGCCTGCATATGAGGCGTAGCTTGGAGTAAACCTGCCAAGGTTTGATTGGTGCTCCACCACTCTTCTGAGTAGCCATCAATGTTGCCCGCATACCGCAAATAACACATGCTTCTGTAAAATTCAAATTGTTTCATTAGATTTTTTTCAAAGTACAATTTATATGCAACATATCTCCAATTTGAAGACAAAACATGCTCTTAGTAGTTCTTCTTCGTTGTTGCAGTCTATTCAGACTGGTTATGATCATCAGTTACAACGGTTAGGTCTTAGTAGTTATGAAATGTAAAAATATATGGCTATTCTAAATTATATTATTGTTAGTCAATTCTGCTGCTATTCAAGTTTTAAATTGTGATTAGATCTCTTTAAGTAGTAAATAAAATTTATCTGTTACCTTGTTGATTACATTTTTCAGCATGCGTTGATTCTGTAACCAGCCAATTTGCAAAGGCAGGCACATGAAACAGAGCTTGCAGAGTAGAATTGAGGTAGCATGTATTGCCTACATTTTGCATGCCCGACCCTGCACTCCATGTTCCCTGCCATCCCAACTGAACTTTCTCAACAGGGAAGAAAACTCGCTTAGGCTTTGGTAAGCCATCCTCACGGTTTTTATTAGCTATAATGAAAATCGTATAACTTTTAGTACTAAAGTGGTAATTTAAGAATAAATTTAGGTCTATTAAATTTTTTTGGAAGGAATTCCCTCCCAAATTTTTTTAGTTATTTATTATTGGAACTTTAAAATTGCAAAAGAGTTAAGACAGAGGGGTAAAATATAACCTATTAAAATAATCGTAAAACGTTGTTTATGGTGTTGTAAATATTGACATGATTTAGAAAATATAACCTCTGTCAACATTGTCACACATGTAGACTGATAACGTCACAAGCTTAAATATAACAAATTTTGCTATTACCTGTGGATTGATTATCCGATGAGACGTCCTTTTTCAGCAATTTATTCTCAAGCACTGGTTTTTTAGAACGGATAACGACATACTTTGATTTCAAACCATCTAGTACATTGCTTTGGTAATCACCGGATTCTACAAACTCTATTTTTGATAAAAGCACACTTTTAGCAGAGGAATACAATCTGCTATCCAGCAAGGATGAGCTCTGAGAGTCTTCAGCAAGGGATAAACGCAATGCGCTAGATACTGTGTCACAAATGGAAGCGGGCATTTTACCTCCAAAACTGCACTATCACTTTAGTACAACTTATCAAATATCACAGCCATACATGATTACTTTCTACGTTTTTTTACCGTTTTTGTAAACGTTCAGTGCGATAACTTAAATATTTTTATCAACCATGTGTACGTATCACAAATTGATGAGCTCGATACGAGGAAAAGAAAATGCATAGTCCACGATACGCGATGGGCTCTTTTTTCCATAGACAAATCCTCAGGCACAGATTATAGTCGTTTGATTGTTTTTTGATTGAAAAAAACTCAGATTTCGATTATTGAACCCGTAAAGAAAAATGAGCCTCAAAAATGTACTGAATAAAAGGTTTCTCGAGCAGTGAATTTTGCATTGGAACCAATGTTAGATGAAACGAGCTAATAATAATAATAAATAAACGCTTTCAATCTTTCAATGCTTTCGGCCAATCGGCCAGCATGTAAAACCATAAACTAAAGAACATTGACATTTGTCAAAGTCAGCAAAAAAAATTACTAACCTGCTCTTTGAGCAGTTTGGGTCGAGTAAGAGATTTTGTAGAATAAATGAAATTTTATTGCACCATAACAAATAATTGTTAATCGTTTAACTTTAATTAAGTTTTACAATTTTTATGGTACATTTCTTTTTGCCACTTACTATTAAAGCACTTAGCAAATTAGTTTCCTAATAGATAGTAAGCGCCGGTGAAATTGTGATCATGGCGAATCCGTCATCAGGCGTTGGTAAGATTTTATTTTTTTTTCTATTTCAAATTATCTATAACTATTTACTGTGCTTAATTTTGACCAAGATGCTTATTTAAAATTGTATTAATGATAAAATTGTGGTTATTTTTTTCAACAGTCGTTCCACGTAATTTTCGACTTCTAGAAGAACTTGAGCAAGGTCAGAAGGGAGTGGGCGATGGGACTATATCTTGGGGTCTCGAGAGTGATGATGACATGACCCTGACTCACTGGACTGGCATGATAATTGGCCCACCTAGGGTAAATCATTTAATTTAAATTTGAGAATCTATTTTTAGATAAAAAATATTTAAATGCAATTTTTATGATAGTTTAAATACTACTTTTATGAATTAGTAACTAATCGAACAAAATACACAAAAATTTCAGTTCACAAACAGATTTAGATGTCAGTGTGAAATGAAATGTTTTTACCATAGAAGAAGAAATTATTGATGTTAAACAAAAAGTGCTGCAACACTTCTATGCATTCCCACTTCTTGCTGGTATTATTTGATATGGATTCATTTAAATTACTCCATTCTTGCAACAGTTGTATTTTGTAGCTGTTAGCACTGAAAAAATGTTAATGCTTGTGTCCATGACTTACATTTGACTGTACAAAATCTTTGTTGCAAAGCATTGCAAAATTTTCAAAGGGTAGAATAGAATACATTAAAAAAAATGAGTAAGCAACTTTCAAATTATCGCTAAATCATTGCAACCTCAAAAAAATCTAATTGTATAAATTTAAACTTTTATCCAAAAATTTGTTTGAAATGGTACATGAAATGACTATTTGGACATTTTTGTCTGTTTCATTTAAAATTAATATTAAATTGGATACTCTATTACGAAAAACAATAAATAGGTTGCTTGATTCCAATGTTAACTGACTAAATAAACACAGTTGATATGATTATGTGACTACTTTAAAGAGTACACTTATATCTCGGAAAGTATTATGTAAATATTATTTAAATTTCCAGACTCCATATGAAAATAGGATGTACTCACTTAAAATTGAATGCGGCACTCGGTATCCCGATGAACCTCCTACCGCCCGATTTATGTCTAGAATCAATATGAATTGCGTGAACAGCCAAACTGGACTTGTAAGTATATTTAGTATTATGTTTAAAAAAAATTTGTTCACTATAGTATGTATGAACAAAAAGCCTTGATATGTTACTTAGAAAACCTTGATTACAGTTTAATTTTTATAAGGTTTCTCTTGATAGTACAATGAAGTTTTAGATTAATGAAGTCAGTAATGTTTTTGCTTGCATCATCATCTTCCTGTTCATAACCTATTCGCATAGGGGTCAGTGTACCAGGTTTTCATCCTTGAGACTGAGGGATCATTGTTGAAATCTGTTGTCAACTCCTAAATTATGACACCTTTAACTTAATTCATTCATTTCCTAAACCTATCTCTATGGTTTTATTCTGATATGTGACATATTTATAAACCATATTATATTAGAAAATTACATCATACTCTGTTAGGATGAGAAAAAAAAACAAAATATGTTTGGTTTAACCTTTGTGTTGATTTAATACAAGTAAAACATTTTACCGGCTACAAAAGATTGTGTATAGTTTGCTTCTTATTGATTTATTCATTAGTCTGTGACCTTGCAACCATTTCACTGCTTCAATACTCAATACTACTGCAGTGTTGTTGTAAAACTATATGGATGAATCATTTCATGTATTTGGGATAGGGAGAATAGCTATTCTTTTTTAATATAAACAGGCACAAGAGACATGACCATTTTTTTTTTCAATGTTATAACCGGCGCTTATTTAGTTTAAGTAAACAATTACAACTTAAGTAAACATCATAAAATATTTTATATGGGATTCTTGCTTATAGTATGTACAATATAACATAATGTATATTATGCAGTGCAGGCTGATTTGGTATGTTGGTGTAAATTGTGCATATTTCTCATAGTATTACAGTGCTCATGGCAAGACTTACATGGTTATTTTTATGATAAAGGCATAGGTAGGAAGGGAGGTAAAGAGGGGATGGAAGTGGATTTAATGGAGGTGGGTACACAAAGGAAGGGGAACTATTCTCTTTCTGTTGATTAATTCTGTAGGCAAACCATTAGCAATTGTGGATGTCTGTGGCCAGCGATTAGGTGGCCGTTTGCTGTTTGCCACCTTATAATATGAAAGAAAGGTAGCTACTAAATCAATAGAATTTCAATTTTGATATGACAATTTTTTTTTACTCTTGTGGTTTTTCCATTTGCAAATGTAGTTGTACGATTTGTGTGTAATTTGTGTCAGGTGGACAACAGACAAGTGCCGATCCTGGCGCGGTGGCAGCGCGACTACACGATCAAGACGGTGCTGCAGGAGCTGCGGCGCCTCATGACCCTCAAGGAGAACATGAAGCTGTCGCAGCCGCCAGAGGGCAGCACCTTCTAGCTTCACACAATTCTATTGTCTCAATAACCCAATCTACTCAACTATTTACCATTTTTTAATAGTATTATTACAGTTCCATAACGTAAATATCTCGATCTATCAACGTTAAAGTTTAGTGTCATTTTAATGTATGTAATTTTTTTTTTATAATTATATATTTAACTTTGCATTTATGTAATTGTATCTTCTCTTACAATTTTAAAGTAGATTGGGTGAATATTTAATGTATAAGGATCACTTTTAATGGCTCCTACCTTCCCACTTAGAGGGTGTACACCCTTTTATTTATCAAATTACATAAATTATTGTGGCCTTTTTAAAAGTCAAACTTGCTTTCGTGTTATTAAGGCTAGTTTTACCAGCGTTTTAATTTCAGTTGAAACCAAATTATAACTCGTAACTTGTAAACAAAACAAATGTATAAATAATCCAATGATGAATTCGATTATGGAAATATTGTTTTTGTTTATGGTTATGAGTGTATATAAATCTCTATGGATACCCGATACTAAAATTATAAGGGTTATAATTATTTGTATGAAATAATCTTATACTAAATAACGATATAAAAACCTTGTCATTCACTTAGCATGATCAAGAGTTGCATATTTTAGGAAATTTTTATTTCTTAGGCACATAAGATAAAGTAATACTGATTCTTTAAAAGCTTTGCATTACTATTTCAGTGTTTGTTGGAATTATTCTCTATTCGACTCCGGCATGTCTGACTCACAGCTTACATGGATTTCTCGTAGCGTTCATTTCTTACATAATAACCTCTGCGTGAATTTATTGTTACAAAAACCAAATGCTAAGTCAGATTGTTTCATAGCATTAATATTTTTACCAATGTATAACTAACAAAGGTAAATAAATCTGATTATACCGTCTTATTTACTTATTATTACTTTAATTTATCCTGTGTACACATAAAATTATTACTACGCTTAACAATGAAACATTAAATACGGTGGATCACTACTATTTATTACATTATAAAAACAAGTCTTCGATTTAACATAGACATACACAAATAATTACACACAAAACTGTAAATTAATAATATATGATTAAATTCAAGTCGTTCACTAAACAAATGTTTAAGTGCTACTGACGTCACATTCATTTTACTAACTACGACATTCTCGCAAAAGCTTACTTTATGCCTACAAATGGCGTCCAGGTACACGTTTATTAGAATATATTAGTCTTTTCAAATATCTTAGCGGCTCAAGGTCATCGGCAAGCTGCTCAGTGCCCTTACCATTTTTACCCCGCGTTATTCTCCAACACGCCGAAACATTGTGTTCTGCGCAGCGAGCCTGCAAGATATTTTAAACGACTTATACCTATAGCTATATAAAGCTATCTACAAACAACTAAAAATTTGAATACAAAGTTTACTTTAAAAACTGTCCGATAAGTGATATAACGATCATAACACTACAAAAGTGCACAACATATAAAAATGGAAAATATTTAACAATTCGATACATTATTGCATTGGCGATCGCATAGTAATATAATGTACAAATATAAGGCAATAGTGATAGAGACGGAATAAATAATAGGTTATATATCTATATTAAAGTATATATAATACAAATTTATTGCGGAACAATATTGTAACGATGATTCCAAAATCATTCAATATAATAGAAGCTCTCGATAATACGAGTGCAATAGTTTTGTCACTTTTTCTTAGTATAACACTGAAAATAAATTTAAAACCTGCGCTTTGTGGAGCCGTAGAACTCCGTTGCCTTTAACACTTATAGTTATCCCTTTCATTCTCCTTGATATAAACAGGGACAAAATGTGTTACAAGTGTCACGTAGAATACCACGCTATATGCCAGAGGTGGTCAACTTACACCACAGATCTAATGTTTACTAAAGAAAACCCTGTGCGATCTATTAATTATATATTTCATGGAATATTAAATGAAACATATATATTATAAGGGAAAAAGGAAAAATTATAACAATGACAAATATTGTTAGTTAATAAATATGTGTACTAGTTTGAGCATTGCGTCTGTACTTCTCTTACGTTATTTTTTACGATCGCGATCGGCTAGTTGGCCACCCCTGATATATACCCTGTCATATACACAAGTCTGTATATATTATGAAATTATACAAAAATATACTCGATTAATATAATCCATGCGTTTACTGCTTTATACTCAAAGTGGCGGTTTCCAATTTTGTAGTTTTGTGGGCGCTAATGACACCCAACTGGCAGCGTCTCGTCTTAAGCGAGGCGTGTTCGCATGGATCACTAGTAAACGCCTTACTGGCGATTGAACGAAATATATAAATTTCTAGCAAAAACAATGTACCCATTTCTCTTTATTCATACCCACTTTTACTTGTCCATGCTTGAACACCATAGTTAAGTTTAGATAACCTCAGAAGTGCGTAGGAACTTTTTATTCCAAGTCGATACATATTTGGCACAATCACCGATATAAATATAAACATATTAGCCGCAAGCTAATTTAAAGTAAGCAACGCCAATAACAAAGTTTACCTCGGGCTCGCTCTTTGATTCTTACTTTAAATAGATTTTTTTAATTCATTATTTTATAGTGCAAAACGTTTGAAATAAAAAAAATCCAAAAGATGTTCACTCGCCCTATATGTAAAATTCGCCATTTATATATTTTTTAAATCTATTTCTTTAATTATAATGGCTAAAATTCAACTTTTGATATTAATTTCTTGTTTGGGTTAAAACAATTCATGAATGTAAATATTAAATTCCACAAAGGTTGGGTTATTAGTTTCACAGCAACTTACTATTCAGAAATCTTCTGTTGCAACACAAACAATTTATTCACTGCCCTTAGCTTAGTTTTTTTAATCTATTATGTTGAAAATTCAAAAGCTATTTAAAATAAAACTACACATTTAAATACATAAAAATAAAATATAATAAAATGTACACGAAGAAATGAAAAATGAGACAGAAAATTATATATATTTTTTAACTATCTATAGTCACTTAATTATTGCAGAAAAATAAAAATCTCAATTGATAGTATAACAGAAATATTATTTAAAATGTAATTTTTATTCGTTTTCTTATGTTAAAAACTTAAGAGCCAAAGAGGTTATAATAATATACTAAGGTATAAAGTTTAAAAAAAAATAGTTTTTCGGACGCGTAATATACATATTTCTAAAAATGTGTTCGTGTGAAGTTTATTTTAAACATATTTAGAAAGTCTGCAATATAATAAAGGAAGATTGGATAAATTTTATTTTGACTTCATGATGATGGTTTTGGTGCAAAAAATATATCCGATCCTTTTTCTCAAAGAGTTAAAAGAAGATAAAGGAAAAAAAAAGCAAAGCCTATCTGAGGTCATTTGAACTACATTAAAACTACAACTAAATTATAAAGAAAAAAAAAACAATGATTGTTCGAATGATTACGTCATATAGTCCGTTAAAGAAAAGCATTGTGATGGAAAATGCAAAACACAAGCTTCTAATCTTTGGCTTTGGTTATTTTACAGTGATTAAAAAAAACAAAATGAACAAAATCTTGTTATAGTCAATCTGCAATTCATAAAAATGTATTATGCTAACTAAAAAAAAATATAAAAAGATAACTTATTCATTTTATCTATAATATATAAATTTTAAAATAAACTATTTATTTACAACAATTTAAATATTTATGTACATAAATTTTTAAATACACAACATTTAACTCGTCCAACATTAAAGGATTTAATGCATACAAATTCACAACAAAAATATTCCGTCCAAACATTAGCAACACACAATTTTAGGATGGCAACACACTTTGTGGAAAACACACCATACAATAACCAAGGAATTTTCTGAAAAACAAACAGGTCAAGATGAATCTCTACGGCCAGTATTATTTCTCAAGGTATAAATCATAGTGCAAAAAGAATTTAAAAGTGTCAAAAAAATCTAATCAAATACATGGAGAGTGTTACCATCCTAAATTACATGCGGGTAGTTTTAAAGTAAAGCAACGAGTTTGGAATAAAAAAAATATGGAATTGGAAATTGCTTTCAAACAATAAAATCAAACCAGAAAACAAAAGTTTAAACGATTGAAAGAAGACAAACCAAGAATTAAATTAAAGTATCTTTGAATTATATTATTGCAGCTTATAAATATCATTATATGTTATTCAATTCTACTGCCGATTGATACAAGACGAAGTTTAAACTATTAAAAAGCGGCACTATGTGCTCTATACTTCAAAAACATGTATCAGAATCTTTCGCACTCTGCCCTATTGGCTCTATTCTATGACAAAACATCAAGACAGGGGTACACAACCAAAACTTAGACTCTCCAATAACTTTTGAAAATGTATTTTTAATCTATTACACATTGAAAAAAGTTGCCTTTATAACGCTTATGCAATTGCGTAAGTCTATGGGCAACGGTCACTTCGCTATTTTAGCGATTTCAGGTGGCCGCTTGCTCGTTTGCCACCTTATGATATAAAGAAAAACACAAACATATTTTCCAAAATAAATCACAAATTTTAATTCCGTACTCTGAAATGGAATAATGCAACACGAAGATAGTATTTTAGTAACTCTAACATCGAATTGGAATCCAGAATCCTATATAATGTAGCATTTTCATAGACATAATACTGACGATTTAATTGAATTAACTAAATTACATTTTATTGTAAAAACGAGGAGGTGTATGTATCAAAAACCTCGAAAACATCATGATTTGGGTGTTTGTAACGGTCAAATAGATAAAAATAACAAAGTATCAGTAACGGAATCTCCGTAGGCACCCTGTTGACCTAAAATATTTACTTACATATAAATGCGATAGATGTGATCTGTAACCGTAACAAAGATGGCCCCGATACTGTGACACTGCGCGTTGTGAAACTGTTCAACTACATGTCCAGCGATCTCCATTTACAAAAGTGAAAAATTAACTAAATATATAAAGTGCCAGTCCATTTATATATAACACGGTAAGTAAAACGTTTCTAAAACACTACCGGTATAATTTGGCGGCAAACGGGGGCGTCGTTGCTATATCATACACATTCAACGTCACGATTAGAAAAAAGGCATCAAATTATGCTGATTATTACAATAACGAGGACGCGATAGCACCTGCACCGAGTCGCTGAACCGCGCGCGCGACACCTTCCGCAGAGGGAACGTCACACGCTCGCGGAACTCAAGTAAATTGATACTTTACACTTCTGTTAATGGTCTTTTTTGTTAATAAAAAAATCTATAAATATTGCGATTTAATTCTGCGAATAAATATTCCATAACGCTCGAAAAGTTGCTTCAAGTTGTCAGGAAGGGAAGACGCACGCGACGTACGCTCTACAAAAGAATTACATAACAATGTTAAGATGTAAAAAGATACTAAGTAGAAGCATTGTTTGCTTAAAAATTAAAAAAAAGTTAAATATAGAATATATTGATTCCTTCTAATGTGATCGCAATACGCACACTTTGTCAATAAATTAGAAATAAAATTAAATGTTATGTTTCGTAATAGTAGAGTGTTCGTCGAAGTTCCGAAACGATCCGAATCCGTTAGCATAGTCCGTGCAGACGTCGTGCGGTGGGCGCGGGGCGCGCGGCGGCCAGCAGGCGCAGCAGCGGGCGGCCGCACATCGCCACCAGGCCGCCGCCCGCCCAGCGCGCCGCCGCCGCCTCCTCCACCTCCGCTATGCGGTTCAGCGAGCGCGACTCGCGCAACCTGCTCTCTTTGCGCGCGGCGCGCCTTCGCCGGCCACCGGTGGAGCCGCCGCGAGCATCACCCGCCGAACCCCCGCTTGCGCCGCCGGAGCCGCTGGGCGTGCCGCCGCCGGGATGTGCGGGGTGCGCGGGCCGGGACGCCTGCCGTCGTGCGCCCGCTGCGCCGCCGCGCTCCTGGCTGTCGCTGGAGTCATCGTGGGAGTCGCGGCGCGCGCGCTCGTGTGGAGCCTCGGTCTGCTCGGCGGCGCGCTTCTTCTTCTCGGAGTCGTCGTCGGAGAGGTCCGAGGATGAGCAGGATCCGGCACGCGGGCGACGACGGCGGCAGTCGAGGCGCTGGCGGCGAGCGGGCGGTGGGGCGGGGGGCGGCACGCGCGCTGGCGCCGGCGTGCCGTCCGTGGCGCTCGCGCGGCGCGTCTCCGATACGCAAACCGTAGCGCCGTCGTCCAAGTTCACCTGTGTAATTTTCTTCGTTAAGTTTATTTAAATTATAGATTGATTCTTTCGTGTTACTCGGGGTATAAAATCAACGTTTTGAACATTGCAGTGAGCAATGTTAACTTTACGTCGGGAACAAAAATTTATGCATCAGTGATCACCTAACAAAAAGCGAAATAGAAAAATACATAAATTCTGAGTTTTAAAATAGACTCTAGATCCCTTTCTTGATTATTTTAAGTTTAAACTACGCAAAAATTGCTTAACATTCTGTAAATGGTCAGAAATCAATAATAAAATATGAGATGGTTAAAATAATTTTATTATCAATTTTTACCACGTCACAAAGTAATAAAATATATAGTTGAAAGACTATAACAAATATTACATTAAAAACAGAAATTTCACAATAACACATTACTTTGTCCTTCATTTACATAACAATGAAAGAGTCAACAAATCGAATTAAATAATTCATAATCTTTGCCTACTGTTTTTCACTTTTACATATTACTTTTTTTATCACACCTACAAATCTAAGAAGAAATGTATCATAATAGCTTCAGTACGTTATTGCAACATTCACTTTACAAAATATATGACTTTCTAAATATTGGAAGCATTTATTAAAATTCAATTCCTTACTCACAAGTCTTTTCCATGTAATCTTTAGTCTATGGCACATCAGTTGTCAAATCAAATATTATTTTAGTGTAAATTTAAATTCGATTCTTTCTTCTAGAAGAATCAAAATAAATACATTATTAAATAGTCGATTATAATACTAAACATTCATAAAATACAATATCATAAAAATAAAGTTAATATCATCCTAACATATGTACTTTCATTAATACATAACTTACATATAGGTCACATTGTAGAGTATGAAAAAGTTCAAGTGATTAATACATAATAGTTAAATAATATAAGTTAGAAATTGTTTATGGTGTCTATATAGTATACAAATACATAGAGTAGCACCAACATCAAATTTTTTAAAAACTTTTATTACATTAGACTGTCTATAGTCTTAAACACCAGAGTCATATTGATGGTTACTTAAGCAGTGTATTTTTTTCGTTAAATCTACACTAAAGAAGTTCCTTAGTAAGCAAATCTGGTTAAAACAGTTAAACACACAACAGCAAATAAATATAACAAACAGCCAAAAGCAAAAACACAAATACAATTCAATTAGTAAACTTGTGCAAGATAATAGATAACAATAACACACAATCACATGAGACATGACATACTAAACAAATAACAAGTACAGTCAGGATAAAAAATGTTTCGTCACTTTATAGACAACATTTGAATTTGCTATAGGTTACTTATAAAGATAGTGTTTACAAAGTTTGTTTGCGCACTGTACATACACTGATCTTAATAAAAGGATAAGCGATGGCTTAGAAATGACAGCTTTTGTTTTGTTCATTCATTCATTTGATTTTCACTATTTTTATGTTGATACATAAAAATAGTGAAAATCAAATAAGCACAAAATATGTCTTATAACATATTTATGGATGTCATCGGTAAGTGACGTCAGTGGAGGGTCTCATGTTATTGTGAATGTGTTGTACCACCTTATTGTTAGAGAAACTTTTCTTCCCTAGACATAATAAAATGCGTGAAGATTACAAAGCACAATTAACACTTTATTGGTAGATATATAGTTTAAGTAGCAGCAGTAAGCATGTTGTTAGACCGAGACGTTGTGTTCGCTGATACTGGAAGCGGAAAACATATAAATAAACATAACAAACATATGTTAATATAATCTTATATTATCTATATTTATATAATCTGTTCAAAATGTACTTCATCTTCACTGGATTTCAGGATATTGTCATACAAAATTTATTAGGAGCTACTTATATTCTAAGAAAGCGTCTAAATCTTATAAACATACAAACATCACTTTTCTTGCATATAATAACAACATTTCGTTCGTTACAAATTCGTAATAATGTAAGTAATTTAAGACAATGTGTTTTTCTAATAAAGGTTCTGAATGCTATTATTAGACAGGTTGTATGATTATTTCCATAGCACACCACAAAAATACACATGGAAGTTTTTTTTCACTATTACACCCCTCAATAAAATACGACATTAACTTTTATAGAAAAAGACTTGATACTTCATAGGCGTGAGGTGTTAAATCATAAGACTTACCTTAGTAAGGTTGTCTGCGAGCTGTGCGGGGCGAGCTAGATGCAGGCGACCCTCCGAGCGGCTGCCGCGTCTCGCCTCCGCCGCGCGCCCCGCACCCGCTCCCCCGCCCGCGCACACCGCGCCCGCCTCCTCGTCGTCCTCCTCCTCCCGCACGATGCTGCACTTGCGGGAACGCTGCAACAATTATCTTATTGCTGCACTACTGCATGTTCATCCTCAAAGTTCATGTAAACAAAATTCTGTACTAAGTGGGTATCAAATTTAATTCTTCGACTACTAAGTGGTGTAAACGATAAAACAAAGTGCCAAGAATCGGTTTTGACTAAAGATTGACACCTACTGGTGTCTGGTGTTAACTGGTTCTAATTATATTATTAGTACTGGACATATTATAATAGAAGTGTGGTTACCGGCGGTGCATCTTGCGGTGTGCGGGGTGCGGCGTGGTGCGGCGGTGGGGCCAGCAGAGAGCGGCCGCGCGACGTCCCCAGTGGCACACCCAGCGCCTCCGGCCGCCGCGCCGCCCGCGCCGCTTGCCTATCAACAAGAATACAAACATTATAATTATTTCCTTACTAATCGCGAGTCTTCATTATTAAGGCTAAAAGTAATCAATTCATACCTTTTAGCTCGCAATTTCCTTTCCGCAAGCAGATAGTATGTGGCAGTTATGTGATTGTAATCATTCTTTTCTAAAGACTCCAATATATGTTCTTTTGATGCAATAGAACCATTAACCATCCTCTGTAAAATAGCTGTTCGGTCTTCTTCTGATAGCTGTTCCTTTGTAACAAGGGGAGCATCAAAATCTTCCACAGCTATGCCCTCCCCGGCGGTCACCCACGGATCTGTTGCTATCTCGGACAGAGTAGCCCGTTTTTCCGGTTCTCTGACTAGCATTCTTCCTATTAACCTAAAAACAAATAAATATCAAAGATTAAGAATCTGTCCCATTAGTAATAGTACCAAAAATTGGTATTAATGCTTATTACATTTACCTTTTACAAGAATTTGATATATGTGGTGGTATAGTATATTTACAATCCATGATCATTGTAAGCGTTTCACTGTCGTTTGCTTCTTGAAATGGTGCTTGACCACAAACTAACATGTATAAAATTACACCTAGTGACCAGACGTCAACCGCAGGTGCATCATACGAGTCACCTAATAAAATCTCAGGGGCTGAATAAGCCAAGGATCCACATGATGTCTCTAACTTTTGTCCTGGACAATATTTGTTACTAAAACCAAAATCAGTCAATTTTACTACACCTAACTTTTCAAAGAACACTACATTTTCCGGTTTCAAGTCACGATGCACAACATGTAATCTGCAAAATAATAACAATATTAATAATATATCAAACAAATAAATAAACTATAAATTTAGTTTAATCAATAAATACCTATGGCAATATGAGATTGCACGCACGATTTGGCGAAAATAATCACGAGCTAGAGATTCCGAGAGACCTGAGTCATGTTTCATTATATAATCATATAAATCTCCTCCATCACCTAACTCTAATATTAGGTATAGTTTAGTCTGTGTGTCAATTACTTCATATAATCTCACCACATTGGGGTGTTGTACTAATTTCATACAACGAACCTGTAGACAAAAACATATGAAAAATTCCAATTCATTACCCTGTATGTTTTTTAATAATGCTAGAGTTATACACATTTTTAGATAGTATAGAGTTTTAAATACCTTTACATTCATTTCATTAAACTAAATGTGCAGTGACAGATCCAGTCTATTTTTATTCAACCCCTCTTGTACCATAAAAGTAAAAATAGAATAGCAAGGGATCACAATATTAAATCGGACACAGTAAGGGAATGTATATGTGCACTGGTAAGACATTACTGAGAGAATCATTGTACCTATAATGCATATTACAGATGTATGGATGTATAAAAGCAATGAAGATGAAAATCTCTGCCTAGACTTCATGACATGAGTAATATGTTTAAATTTTTTGAAACAATTTATAATTGGTAAAAAAATTGGATGCCATGTGACATAGTTAAAATAACAATTATTGGTTATGATAATAAAAAAGCAAAGCATGCTGCATTGACATATATCTACCCATTTTAATATAATATTTATAAGATTCCCTAAGGATTACAATAGTTTGTCATTTAGCTTTGTGAAGATTTCAGCCTTCCATTCTTATTAGATTTTTCTTACCATTAGATACTACTAGAAATATATATGGTTAGAACCACTTTTAAATGTTATGAAATATTTGACAATTATTAGTATCCAATATGCTACAAAACAATAAGTACTGAAAAAAATTGAATACATTTTATTTCTAATTTATTTTTTTATTAGAAAATAAATTATGTGATAAATATAATTCAATGCTATTTAAATGCTGTACAATGAGTTAAAATAAAATAAGAAGTATTCTATTTACCTCTTGAAATAAATGGGATTTTGAGACCTCGTCTAATTTACTTTTGTCAATCACTTTCACAGCAACTTTTTCACCAGTGAATACATGTCTTGCTAATTTCACAACAGCAAAATGTCCAGAACCCAGAGTATCAAGCAAATCGTATAAGCCAGCTATTTTGGTGTCGTAAGCACCAGCGCCTGTGGCCATTGCAGCTCCAACTCCAGATCCACAGTTATTCATTGTAACTCTAAAACTGAACACTAAGCATCTATCAACATTTACATCATTCACTATTCTCAATAAATTTATTATCAAGAGGATCGCTAAACCCTTGTACAAAAATAACTTTGAGGAAGTTTCTAAAAACTATTCATTGGGTAAATATAGATGTTCTCAAGAAGATGGAGTGCCAGTGGCCTATATGATAAAAAATATATATTTAATACCCTTTGATTAAGCTCTTACAATAGACATAAAACATAGATTTACTAAATAAACATGAAAAAACTTACGTGGAAACAATTTATAAATTAAAACTGACTAGATACCCAGCACTGCAACAAAATGTTGTTAACACAATAAGATTCATAGGAGTCACTACCGTACAAATAAGTCACTTAAAATAAATAACAGTAAATATCGAAAACAGACTGATAACATTGCATTATTTTAGTTAGAAAATTGGAATTATCGAACGAAAAATAGATGTTCCGAGAGCCTCAATTTCGCCATTTCTTTAATTCAGTTCAGAAATGTAAACGGTTGTTTTCTAAAACAAAATTCCACGTAAATTATTTGATTGTACTCTTACTAAGGAACTATTACAAATATTAGAAAGGGATTTTGAAATATAAAATATTGCTTTAATATAATTAGATGTACAAGTAAGTTAGGGAAAAGATTTAAAATAATCTCTGATAATTTCTGAACGAAAAGTGTCAAATTTTGAGGAATTTATGTTTTCTTAAATCCGATTTTTGTATTTCTTTGCAAGCAGATCAGCAGATGAATTAAGTAAAAGATCAAGCAAAACGTAAAATGTGGTTTCTGTTTACCCCTTTATTGAAGTAAAACTAAAAAATATAAAAGAAAAAAATAATTTCCTTCTTTCACATACCTAAATATTTCAAGTAAATAGAATATCGTAGTGATTGGATTAGAATAGAGTTCGATAAGAAATTTCAGAACTGACTGAACCTGCCATTTATTTTTATTTTTACTCTTTTTCTAAATTGAGCAAAAAAAGCGGTTTTCCCAGTAACGAAAACGGCTGCATACAACGGTCGTCGTTGCAACCTGTTTATTACCAGTCTAAAAAATCAAACAAAAATCAACGGTTAATTATCAACTGTATACCTTTTGGATATAATTCACTATTTTCAATCAATTACCGACTGAATATCGTTGAAAAAAAGTTTACTTTAAATTCTATAATCAAAGACGGTTTAAAACGAACGTATAACGACTATGCGCTTTACACAACAAATTTCATAATATTCGAATCAGTCTATTCTCGTTCTCGAGTTTATTTTTTAAAACATAAAATAAAACCGTATCATATAATTCGAAAACAGATTATGAAGCGTACACTGTCTTAACTTTAATTCATAACATAAACGGTTTTTGAAAACGGTTTCTCGTCGCAACGCCTACCGCTGCTCGACTGACTGCTGCTGAAAATGATCTTATCGATCTAGTCGTAGTTTTACTGAAGACATTCATTAAATTTTAAATAGGATTGGCAAGTTTGTACATATTTCAGTTTCTGTAAACGAAATTTGTACGTCATTTTTTTATTTATAATTCTCAATAGTAATATCAGTATAGTTAGTAATGATATTAGGTGAAACATTGTTGTTTTCTTTGTCATTAGTCGATTGTGGTGCTATTTTGTTTTTGTTAGTTTATTTTATCATAACATTATCAGATTTAGAATGTGATTATCTGAATGCACAAGAGTGTTGTGACAAGCTCAATTATTGGCTGTTGCCAAAATACATAGGGCATTCCTTCATTACTTTTTTGCTTTTGTTACATGGACAAGTCATTTTATTTTTGTTAAACTTGCCAATGTTTATTTGGCTATCTTTTGAATATTTCACAATACCGCAAGGAAATCTTGGTGCTTATGATCCTGCGGAAATTCACAATCGTGGCCAATTAAAAAAACACATGAAAGATGTTATGATTTATACTGGGTACTATTTAATATTTTTCTTTATCTATCTTTATTGTTTTATATTGGCTCTACTTAAAGGCGATCCAATTAAGCGAGGAAGTGAAGATTTGATTGTAACTGAAATTTAAAAAAAAAATATTGTGAAATGTATTCAGTATCGGCTGAAAACTCTGTTAACACAGTGTATATTGGAATTGATGAACTTTGTTTTGATAAAGATGAAATAGACAGCAAAGACACTTGTACTAAATTACAATTGAAAGACAACATTACAGCTTATATTGAGAAGAGAGAATTGGATAGAAATACTGAACCATTGGAATGTGATAGTGCTTTATTAGAAAAAGTTACATCCAACTACATTATTGTGAAGACAATATTAAGTAATCTACGTTGGCAAGATAAGCTTGTATGTAAACTTGTATGTAGTACTTGGCGTTCAGCGGTGCAGGCACTGCAGAAAGAACAATTGTGCCCAGAAGACTTTGTTGTTGACCTTTGCAGCCCAGCAAAGGGTGGTGGAGGTAAAGGATGGTTCAAACAGTCGGGTACTTTCCGCTCAGAGCCCCTAGTTGTCTTTACATTTGGGAATACAGCTGGCATGTTTTTCTGCTGCAAATGCAGAGTATTTTCCCCCAGGCTATGTGAAGAACCTTGTCAGATGGAGCATTGCTGTAAGTCAATTAAATTATGTCCATTCATAGCTTATCTTTTGTTTGTCTTGGTTGGCAACAATTAATGCATGTGTTTTATATCTTATCCAAAGTTCATATGGTTTATCAATATTTATACAACAAAATGTTTTTCTTTTCAGTAATAGATTTGATAAATCGTCATGTTAATGCTCCAAAGAACTGCATGGTGACAGCAACAGCTAACTATTTGGTATACAGGCCTCTACCATTTACAAATACTTATGTACATTCAATAACTCATTATACAGACAGATGGAATAATCCATTCCTTGCCGGTATATATGTACCCAAGATACCTAATGTTGGATTAAAAGTAATAAACATCAAATCGCAAGATACCTTAAAGGCAGATTTTTATGATGTTATCAATGAGTTAACACAAGATAATTTAATCAAAGGTGTTGTAGTGTATGTCACCGACAAGTATCTACTAAATTCAATTGATGATATAGTATTTTTGCATTATCTTAAAGATGTGTAAGTATCATTATCTTAATAACTTGTTATATGTTATTATATACTAAGTTGGCTACCTTTTGGCATACTTTTCTTCTATTGATTGTAGAAACTGTGCTGTATAGGTTTATTTCTCTGTGTGTCTTTCAGCATATATTAATCTGGTAAATGTTTAAAATTAATATGAAGATACTAATAAAATCCTGATGTTAAGTGACCACTATGAGTCATGAGTACTCAGTCTTACTAATATAAATGCGAATGTTTAGATCGATGGTTGTTTGTTTGAAGGTATCTCCGGAATAGCTGAATGGATTTCGATGAAATTTGACACAGATGTAGAACATAGTCTGGAAGAAAACAGGCTACTTAATATTTTTTTTAATTCTGTGCAGACAGAGTCGTGTGCGACACATATATTTAATAAAATGTTTCAGGCAACCAGATATACCATATGCTCTTGGAGGCTGTCTTGTTGAAGATACAATCACCAACGGCAAAGATATTGATACTATAATTGACAAATTAAATGAAAATGCCGATTTTATAAGTGAAAATTTACTTTCTATGTGCTTGTTCACTGTACCAAAGAATATCCCTGATACTGAATATAACTTTGAAATGTACAGTGTTGTTATCAATTCATCGGAATGGAAAAAACCATTTATACAACAAGCAATTACAGAGGTAAGATGAGAGATCTCTTATTTTAATGAAAGGCGTGCCATAGTTTTTACATTTACTTTTTGAGAAAATATGTCAATCGTTAAATATGTTGAATACTCAATTAAATGATTATCAACTTCTTTATCTTATGTCATCCTTTAGTACTGAATTTTCATCAACAAAAGCATATTGTTACCTAATTCTCTCTAAAAATCTGTTTTTATAGAGAATTAGGTAACAACTAATGTTATATATAAAATTCTCGTGTCACAATTTTCGTTCCCATACTCCTCCGAAACGGCTTGACCGATTCTCATGAAATTTTGTGAGCATATTGAGTAGGTCTGAGAATCGGCCAACATCTATTTTTAATCCCGCGCGGACTGAGTCCCGGGCGACAGCTAGTTCTCTATAAAAACAGATTAAATAAAGTTTTGTACGCAGTTTTCACTATCTTCCACAAGTATCAAATTGAACAACCAAAGCTCTATGTAGTAGAGTTTGTTGAGTGTACTGTTTGAGTTGAAATGTCCCGTCTATTAATACATGTTAATATTAAATGTCTGTCTGTTCATTGCAGTTTTCAAATAATGTACCCCGGTTTGAACACAGCATCGCCTTAAAACTGTCATGTGTGGGTCGCGATCAGAAGCATGTTATTGAGCAGGATTTCTTTCGTGACGCTTTCCCGGACACACCTATAGTCGGTTGCTATGGCAACGGTGAGCTAGGCATCAACCACCCTGCCAGAGTTAAACCGGAGCCATCCTCCCCTGCTGCCAAAAGATACAAAGATGCCTCGAAACCTCACCATGGAGTCATGTATTCATATTCAACAGTTTTTGTTTACATTGGTTGGGGTAAAATGACGTCACCCAAAGGACCTCTACGTAGATAAACAGGTTAACCACCAGTTTTTTTGAATAATTTTCAAAGCCTATTAAACCAAATAGTGTATTCACCGGACTTCATGTGGACACAACATTATTTATATTAAATTGTAGTACAACTTCATAAAATAGTTCTCTGAATGGTACAGATGAGTCTGTGTGAATGGATCTTTAGATTAAGTGCATTTTAAATGTTAACCAGGATTATATATGGTGAACTCTGAGACCTCTATTTCTAGTTCTAATTGTCTTTAGTAAAAAAAGTAAATTGTATCTATTTGTTTTCATAAATAATGCACAACCATGATGTATTCGCGTTGTTTATAAAGGAAAGGTAATTTTTAATTTGTTGTCTGTCCGCAAATACTCATTTATGCCGGATAATCTCTGAAATGGCCTGACCGATTCTGACGGGACTTGGACTGGAAGATAGCTGAGAATAACGTAGGATCATTTTAATTAATTTTAGCCTGATAAAGACGCGGGCGATCTTTAGTTATATAATTTAATTTACGGTATTGTTGTCTCTGTTTTTCCACAAAGAATGTAAGGGATAACAATATGTGTCATACAAGTGTCACTGCAGTTCAAAACCGTGATAAAAGTTTATTATTTTGTGTTTTGTTTGACAATTGTATCGACCTTGAAGACTATTTATTATTAAAGCTTTATATGTGTTTACAATTTTCAACTTCGACACTGTGCCGTTGAATGATAAGAAAGGACGCATTACGGACGGATAGCATTACTGCCGCCCTGGGCGAGATTTTTGGTGTAGAGGGAAATCATCCAAAGATGGGGCGTCATATAAGGGCGACCTGGACGCCCATTTACATCCAGCCCGGCGCCCTGGGCGATCGCCCTACCTTAATATATGTCATATAATTTATAATCATCACGGTCTAACCCAATATTATTGCGTTACTACGCCAAAAAACAGTTATGTGAAACTGTAATACGTATAATATAAATTGTCTTAGGTCTATTAGAGTTCACCATACCTGTCCGAAATGTAGAATTAAGTTATATACTATATGTAATTCTTTTATTAACTTATGTAGTTATGAATCTTTTATATAAATATTTGATGTGAAATATATCTCGAATAAAACCAGAAATTGTTGTTTAATTTTTTAGTATATACAGACGAATCTTAATAAGCGAGAAATCTCTATAAGCCAGTCAATGTCTGGTCCCGTCGGATAACCTCCATAAGCGAGATACTCGGGTCAGAGAGAAAACCCCTATAAGCGAGAAAAATTACGCGGTCGAACTCTAGCTTATCTACTACAGACTTTATATAGCAGTTCACAGTAATTAATATTATATTTTGAAAGTTACAAATCCATGTGGCTCGTTTGAATAAAATGTGACCTTCGTTTGTCTATTCAAGAGGTCACTTTAGCTTTTTAAATAGACTTAATTACCATTGCAAATCATCAAAAATACGCGTGCAGTTTTATATATACATATCTTGAAGTGAAAGTTCTGAAAAAAAGAGAGAGTTTCTCAAAACCGATACAATGCAAAATTTGCATAAAATTCTGTACATTTAATATTCGCATTGGCATTGTTTACAAAATTGTACCTGATACGCACATTAGGAACGTATTCAATTTAATTAATAGCTACTTTTTGCACATCACAAAACCAATGGAATTCATTTCGTGATATAAAATTCAAAATTGATATTTTTACCAAATGGACCAGACTGGAGTTATAAAAATAATGCGTAAATAGTAGCAGTGAGAAATGGAATTGTCATCTCGGAGTCATTGCATTTTTCTCGTGCAGTAGAAATTGTCGTGAAGCTAAACTGGTGCAGACAACGGTTTTTCAAACAATAACGGCCGTGTTGCAGATTAGCTGGGAGGCTGTTAATTCATTTTTACGGATCATTTGCTACGGGATCGCGTGCGTGTTAAGTGTAACGCGTTTTACGTTTTATAATTCCGATGTAAGTATGATTTGAAGAATATAATTTAGAATCATAAATCACTGTTTTTGATCAACGGTTTTATAATAAAGTATTTAGTGCTGTAAATGTTCAAGAAGTCAACCGTTTGTTACATAAATATATAATCTTTTACTACAACTTTCTTTTTATTTTGAAACGCTTAATTAGATTTTGGAAATAATACACATATTAAAAAAATCACTACTTGATAGCAGTGACATCAATATAAGTTGACCTATTAACAATTTGCTGCCCATTTTATAACAGGGGTTTTTATGTAAAAAAAACTCCATAATAAATTCTATTTATTTATATATATTGCGTAACTTTTACGTTGGAACTGAATTATAGCTGTAAATTAGTGAAGGTAGATTTAGAGCCGCCAAAAGAAAGTATTATATGATGCCGTTTCAGTGTAACTGATAGTGGCTTACTTAGTAAATTTATATAATTTATATTAATAATAACACATATTGTCATCCATTACATTCCTTCCAGTGATAACATGTGTCAATAGCATTCAGTTGAATACCAAAAGTTATATATTCAAAATGTTTGACGAATACTTCGATAAAACTTTGTCAAGTACCGGGGTCTTTAGTCTATTTACGCCGTTTGTTTAGTCTCCAGACAACTATTTAGAAATAAATAGAATGCTTAAAATTACAGCTCATTCGTCACACAGATTACCGAATTTCGATACAGTTATGTGGTATTTGTATATTTACTTGTCAGATTGGTGTTAACAAAAAGTGTAACATGTATAGATTATACCATGTATGAAATAACCGTCCAATTCTTACGTATGCAGCTTTAAAATTGGAAAAAGAAAAAAAATTAAATATATCAAAAAACCATAGCGTTCCATTTTCTTCACTATTGTAATATTAGATCGAACTGTATTTAGATGGCCAGTTTTTTTTATTAACAATTACTATGTAGTACAGAAACATATCGCCTACCGATTATATCGATAACCGAACGCTTTTTATAATAATTAACCTTAAAATATGAATAAAAGCAATTTAATTATAAAAATTGTTAAATGTATAATTTTATTTCTAGACTTACCTACGTAGGGTATTTACATATTTGGTTTTGCGATTCCTACTTTTTAAAGTTTCGAGTGGTTGCAATGTGAGTTTGTGAGAGTCGACCCCTGGATGTCTAGTGAGCTAGTGGGTACTGGCCAGTTTGCCGTGTGATGGTCCCGCGATCAGACGTTCGATGTCAGTCTTTCCATTTTACACGCTAACAAATGCGCACGCCGTAGAAAGTCGCGCCAACGTCGAAAGTTTTGTTTTTTTTTAAACTGTATAACAAGATATTTTAATAAAATATCTCAGTTTTAATCTGTGGTGAGGTAATTACTTGATTTGTACGTATTAAGATTAATATTTTTCTATAATATAAAGTATATAGTTACTTAAATTTTTACTTTAAAAAGTTCCAAGTTAAGTTGTTATGTACGCATTTTTTTTCACCTATAAGAATGATAAGTTTAAAAAATAGTGCCCCTATAATACATAAAATTTTTGATTTAACTCAATAAAGCCTACAATAATTGCACAATAAGAAAAAGAGTAACAGAAATAATCTATTTAGTAGCATTACAATCGTGTCTTTTACTCGAGAACAATTTTTTGTAAGGATGTCTCCATTCGAATTTTTTGTCATTTCAAAATGAAACTCATGTACATTAGTGCCTGAAAAACAACTCCTTATATTACAGACCACGTCTTGCCTTATTTTTTAGCCGATCACTTTGCTATTTTTATTCACATTGATCTCTTCTAAGTAAATCCTGATTTAAGGAATATACTTGAAATAGTACGTATAAAAATTAATTTTTAGTTTTACTTCGTACTATATTAATTTTTAATATGATTTATTTTTGTTACGATTATATTAATTATTGTTTTATTTTTATCTCTAAAGTAATTAATTTTATGTTTTGTTACTTAATTATATTTATGACATTTTTTTAAACATGTACCTTAAATTTCCCTAATTATATATTATCTTTTTCGTAAATGATTTTTAAAATATAACTTTTAGAATCTTTTCATATAAATATTTCTTTTCTGCAACACTTATAAATAAGAACTTCAGATAGTTTAAAAAGTTCTTTGAATTAAGTCATCTCAGTGGTTTTCTTGAAAAAAAAACGATGTCAACAAAATATACATAAATACCCATATTTTATCTCAGCTTATGAAATGCATAGTTTTTATTTATTTTTTTGTAAACTTTTATATTAAATTTGTAAACAAAAGGTGCATTTAATTACAAGAATTTAAAATTTCAATAGCTGAGCTAAGTTCCGCAAGGTTATTCACATCTCTGTGATATAACACGATTGTGTTAACTTTATTTTTTAACTCTCACGTTAACTTACTCCAATAGGTATGTTCAACAATTGAATTTGTTATCCACTTAAAACAACTTTTAACATTCTTTATTTAACCCTAAGTGCTAGCTTTCTTTTTCTGGATTAAGATACAAGGTGAAATGTCTAAACAGTGTTTTGTTATATTATAATTTATAGATTCTAGCTAGGTTATTAATTGTAATAATTCTTTGCTTTTTAGCGTTCCGTACCTCATAGGAAAAAAACGGAACCCTTATAGGATCACTTTGTTATCCGTCCGTCTGTCTGTCAAGATCCGTTTTAAAAATATTTTGTGATAACAGAGAAGAGAATACATAAGCGACACAGTTTTGAATTAAATAGATTATAAAATATGGTTCTTTGGTATTTTATTCCTTTTCTTATATTCTTAAACGTCGAGTTGATATATTTAAAAATCTCAAGGTTAACATAAGGTGCCATATTTGATAAATTTCTTTAGCATTTCCTTTGATGACTAATTTATTTTTTGTATAATACAAAAGTTTTCATTAAATTAATTATTTAAGTGTTATATAACAGATTGTTTTTAAACATAACCTACGGTTGACATGAAGTTTTTTGTAACACTGAATATACATTCTTATATCTTAATGACTAGCTGCAGAATCGAGTCGTACAACGTTCACTTTCTCTTTACATCGCCGTCTAATTTCTTTAATTCTGTTATTACAAGATTGAAAGATTTTCGGCATATGTCATGCTGCATGATTTCGATAATCATTAACCATTACATAAACTGTGTAAATAATAAGCTGTGTAAAATAATAAACTGTGTAAAAAATAACTGTGTAAAAAATGGTGTAAAATTTTGCAATGCTTTAATCACATATTACTGAGTCTTATATATCCATTGTTTCGAAAAAAAACCTAATCTACTCTGAGAAGTACAATCAGAAAGGATATTATAAAGATGGGACGCTCTTTCCAATACATCCTTCTTCGAAATAAATAACGTCTATTTCGTTGGGCCCATTGGTGTTTATATATTCAGTTTAAAAAAATATTGATAGATAATTGAAAACAAATACGAAACTAAATTAGTCTGATTTGTTTTATTGTTCTTGATTTATGATTCGACTGAAAGTTTCTTAAAAATAACATATTCACGTATCAACAAAGAACCAAATAGTAGAGATTATAAGATGTTATAAGTTTTTATTTGAGCTAATTTAAATGAACATAAACATAAATTGTTTGTGACCAAAAAAAGAAAATTGTTTAGTCAATTCTTATATTTTGTTTTATTGTTTTTAGCAAGCTTCAAGAATAAGAACGTGCACTCAATAAAAAGTGACGATAAAGTGATACTAAGTTTGAAAGACGTAAAACAAAATAGTGTTTGATGGATTCCGGAACATATTTAAGATAAAGTGAAAGTATTATCATCGTGGGATAGTCCATTCGAGGGAAAAATATTGAAGTTGTATAGAAAACAATGGATCACCTGTTCCGGCAACGTCGGATTAGCATGCCCAAGCGGTAAGTTATATTAAATTGTTTATTTATAAGACAAAAATTAAGATTCCCATTATAATAAAGATCGTATCATTTTATTCTGTACATTTTTAACTTTTTATCGTAAAATTAAAAGTGGCCAGTTTAATTTGTGATATTGCTTTCTTTTATTCTTTTTTTAAATGTTTTTTTAGCTATTTCATTTAATCGAATAATATTCACCATTGAAATAAGTAAATTACGTTTCTGATATTGTTTACGGCTCTTAATCGATAAAAAAAACCTTTTACTGGTTACCAAATGATGAACCTAAGAACTCTTAGTCGCTTTCTACTTACTAATTTTATTCAACCGAAAAAATTGGAGTGAGACACCAATTCAGTTTTCGTTACGATACTCCATGGTTTTCCAGTAAACAAAGTCGGTCGTTGAAAATAGTGGTGGGGTAATTTGTGATTTATTTTTTAAGATTTTTGTACAAAACTTTTTGTCATACAACAATGAACGAATCACTGACGTCCATCTTTCTTAACGAATCATGTTTGCTATTTTAGGATTGATTATTCTAGAGTATTACTAGCTGTTGCTCGCGACTCCATCCGCGCGAGATTATAAAATAGATAGTAGGCGTTTCGCAAACCTACTAAATATGCATTTAAAATTTCATAAAAAAGAAGAGAGAAGGCTAAGAAATATAATATTGACTTTGATATTGAAAGAATATCAAAGTTCTTAATAATCGTTTTATATTTACGGTTATAAAGATAACCGACAATATCTATTAGTAGTTTGCGTTTTTACGCTTCACTTCTTACCCTCAGTGATGTGTACGATGGTGTATAATAATTACCTTATAAATCGGACATTTGTAACTGTATTTATTATTACTAACTACTATTTAATATTACAAAAGGTACTTCAAGAAATACATATAATTTTGTAAGAAATTGTACGTAACGATTTAGAATTCTACTTGTGTTTAGTTTAGAAAATCTTAACGTACGTCTCAATTAAGTATAATATAAGTTGTGTTTTAGTGGTTGGTAATATGAAACAATTGAACAGATTACATACACTATGTTAAAGAATTTTTAACACATTCACCGCTTAAGATATAGAATAATTAGCCAGGAGCCAACATTTTCTAAGGCATATTTTGATTATGTATATATGTATGTTTAAAAATATGGATGAAAGTACATTGGTATTATTATAATTAAAAAAAATAACTTTTTTCGGATCTGAGTGGGCTATTATGCCCTCTCCCCGCTCGGATCCGAGTGGTGAGCACTGAATGTTTTAAATAAATTGAATAGAACACGATGTAGTACGAAATAGCATTATTGCACCTTTCTAAACATTTTGAGTTTTATTTCAGTTTATAATATAAAATATTGTTATTATATACAGTTTTTGTATGACATTAAAATTCAAAAGTAGTAGAACAGTTTCTGTGGTATGATGTGTTATTTTTATGCGCTATAGTTGTCTACTTTTTGATCGCGGTTTTGTGACTAGAATTGTAATATTTGTGCTAGTTTCTAGTGTAGCATTTTTTACACTATAATGAGAACAGAAATAAATATGGTTGTTTTTCATAGAAATTATTCCTAGTGCTTTCCAGTTTCCGTCAAACAATGTATGAATGAAATTATTTTTTGTACTTGGTTGTGTAATTTACGGATGAATACTATCTACGTGTACTATGTCCCTATGTCTTTCTAAGCATGTTTTAATTATTTAATTAAATCCAATTAAGTTAATATTTTTATAAGTTTGTTTTTTGTTTCAATCATAGACACGTGAAAATGAACAATAGACAAACCTTTTGTTGTCAACTATTGTATAGAAAGTTATGGTTTTATTTCAAGCTGAAACGTTTGTCGGCTGATTGTCTTGTATTTGCCGCAATCTCGGCTATCAGGTCAACATCTCTGTTGACTGACGCTCCATTTATTATATTCGAAATTTTCGTAGCGTTCGCGTGTAATTTGTTTTAAACTTTCGTTGATACGAAAGTCTATCCGGCTGAGACTTTCTACATGAAAATGCGTTTAATGCGTGCCTCTTAATGACATGCGACATAAGAGTACGCCGAATGTAGTATAAATGCAGAACGTGTCATCAGGGCTCTCGAAGTGTGGCAATGGGACGCAGCCGTTACACGATCCGGTGTGTTCCTAGTAAACACCGTAAACTGATTAACATCGCGAAACTATGGACGGAAGTTGCGTTATTTTCTATCATTCGTCAAGATAAATTAAAAGATCTTTATTTATTGAAAATTGGGAAATTTGTTAATTAATTAGGTGTTAAATAAACTCACGTTAATAATGTCAATCTTTTTAATACGAAAATGTGCGTCGCTTTTAAGTTACTGTTAATTTTAGCCTTATTAGAAGTTAAAATTAAAAATAAACTCATTTAAAATCAGTGTCGTGTTCGCAGTAACAAATATACCGGTAGGTACGTGAATGTCAAAGTTGTGTGAGCTAACTTTGTGAACGGTTTTCATACTGTAATATTCAGAATGCGTTCACTGACAAATGAACTTAACATAACAATTTAGTTGCTAAGCAACTAATACTATTATTATTAAGTATTAATTTCTAAAATAACATTAGATTATATTTTTTAGGAATTAAATAAATAAAGCATAGTATTTAACTTTTTCCAACCTTTGTTTTTTTTATAATAAGAATATCGAGGAATTTATAATATTATAACTTAACTATAACTTTAACGGTTAATTGATTTATATAACAGTTATAAATTCCTAACTTCTATAGATCTACAATAACAGATCTTACTTCGACGTGAAACAATGGCATACTGAAACCGCAGCAGCATGAATTTCCTTATGAATTTCATTCTAAATCTATGTGAGATAAATGTTGTTTTTATATAGAAATCTTTGCCTTTCTATTGAGCGCGGTTTGCGGCACTTGTATTTCTTTAAGGTTGAAAACACGCAAGCCGAGTTCTAGATTCATTCTAGATTACTATTATAGTTGGCATTGTCTATTGGATAATTACAGCTTTACAATCGTCTCTATTTAACGATTTTTGCAATATCCGTAATTTACGTAGTATTGAAGATAAAGAAATTGCAGTTGGCACATTTTGTAGGTTAGTGTACAAAGTATTGTTGTTGCGAATTGTGACTTAAGAAATATAAAGGGATTTTTGGTTGTACTTATATTTTATAAGATTAAAAAAACCGAAAGGAAATTATAGAATGTAACTGGTGAAAGACTAGATGATTATGATTGATGATGTTTTATTGATGACGTTAACTAAATTACCAGTAATAGGCTTTTGTGTCCTATTCAATGATTACATTTTAAGAACGAGAATGGTACGATTATAATTTTTATATTTTATTATTATATCCTTTACTAAAGATTGATTTTTATATCAAACCCTATTCACTTGCATACTGAAGTACAGATAGCTGTTCACATTGGTTTAAGCATCGGAATTGTAAGCTTATAAACAAATAAGTTTTGGTACTTGTAAATCTGGGTAAAGATTACCGTTTTGCGTACATTCGCGCAGTCGGTGTTGATTGTAATTTACATGGTTAGTTTGTGCGCGGTAATGTAACTCACCTTGTTGCATGTAACGGGCAATTACATGTTACACTTTATAATTATACGTGTATGTGAAATTTATAAACACTGAATAAACGTTACATGGTTTATTAAGTTTTTACTTTGTAATACATATAAATGGTTGTAATTTAATTATATTTATTATTGTTTACGATGTATGTTCGCTATAAATTCCGATACTACTGAACAAATTACTATCAAATTTTGTAAGAATCAGTAATTTAGTCCAATTTGGAAGATAGGGTATTTTTCATCACAATTATTGATCTTTTTTTTAATCATTAAAAGTATTTAATTATTAATTAAATACTAAAACTAGCTAACCAAATGTATATGGAAAGTAATGAATCATATCAATAAGTTTATAGAATTTATATATTTTTTTGGTAATTATATATCTCCATACTCTTTGTACTTTAAGATACTTTTTTGTCTTGTTTTTTGTAAAAACGACTCTAGGTTTAAGTGTACGTTATCGTTAGCTGTAATCGGCCAGCTTGGTGCACCCAAAGATAATTAAGATAGTATCTCGGTGAATCAAAAGAATGCATAGAAAATGTATGCATAGCTGTTTTCAAATGAATGCAAAAAGTTCAAAAACGTTCATTAAAAATCGTCGGGAGTGTAGTGCGGTCACCACAAGTATCAAGATGCATTCCTCCGCGTATTTAGGCGTCTTATCGCACATATTGATTGAAACGGAACATTGTATTTGGATTGTATATAAAAATCCATTTCATTCATGACAGTTAACTAATTTAGGGCTACGGCTTGTACTTCGCTGGGTTACTTACGAAAAAACTATCATACAATTATATGAAATATCAAAAAGTTATAAATATTACAAAGATTTGAATATTTTTTAATAAATGTAATGATTTTACAAACAAAATTTTTTTTCAAATTTAAGTGACGCGTTGAAGTCTTTTGTATGATGTACGTTAATTTAATTATTAACTTATTAATTAATTGAATTAATCATTTTGCATTGAGTCGATAAGTGCGAATTTTATTTACATAAAATATTTTCTCCAAAAATCTTGTAAATTAACGACTTCGTAAACCGACGAGCTAACTGTCTTATGTCACACATACTTTTAAGAATTACAGCGTTATTTTTCGTTTATAGTTTAATAAAATTTCTGGTCAATTGGGGTCATGTCTAGTATTATGTCAGCGAAAACATATCGAAACCAACGTCCTTTTTACATCACTTTACCATATAGGGAGCGGACGCTTAGACATACAAGCTTAAAAGGGAAGCTGGTGATATATGTAAAAAAAGTCGTTAGTACGTTACATGTCGGCAAATAAAACCTTAAGTGAAATAGCTTGATTGGTAAGAAGTTACATCATCTACTTATCATTTTAAAATAGCGTGGAAATTTACCAAAAAGAATTAATTCGATT